GTATAAATTGACGAGTTTTGCAAAAAAACGAAACTTTAAAACGTGGTAAAATTACAAAATTAAGCGTTTTGCATTTGCAGGAAAATGCGCTGTCGAAGGACGGGGCCGAGGACGATGATGATGAAGTGAAGCGGGACCCGCCGGTTATTCAGGCCGTTGTCGCGACCATTGGGTGAGTTATAAAACATCGATTTTTCTTAAAAAATAATATATTAAAAATGAATTAACTCAAGTTGCATTTTTCAATAGAATATAATTTTCACCAATACGTTCTTATTCAACGGTTCTCGATGCAAAACAGATAAATTTGTTTGGTAAAATGACTGTATTGGTTTTTAATGTTCTCCATTTGCTAAATTGGCTTGGGCGGCGCCACTCAGTATTTAATTTTTTTTGAAACATACTTTTTTGGAATCCGTTATTAAAATTTCAAACGGGCTCGCCACCTTTGACCTCTATGAAACATGATTTTTTTCAGCTGGATAATGTTCGCATCGGCGGTGTTTTGCCTGTGGGAAGACTGGAGCTACTGGACGAGCATCTACTTCTTTTTCATCTCCACCAGCACTATTGGTCGGTTAAACAAGGGATTAATTCCGTTCTTACCTTAAAAATACTTTAAAATAGAGGTACTGATTTTAAACTTTAAAGGCAAATTAATTACTTTAATTTTAAATTCTCTCAAAATTTTAAAGTTTAATTTTTAAACAAATTTAATGAATTTAATTGAGCGGAATGTTTTACATTTTCAGGCCTCGGCGACGTGACCCCGGCCCATCCAGAGTACATGATTGCCACGTTTATGATTGGTGGGTGGGATTCAATTTTAATTCGGTTTAAGCCATCGATATGAATTTGGATTTGGCCAAACTTCTTTAAAATGTTATGAATTTTTCGAGAAATTCCAGGCATTTTTTCTCAAAACATCTTTCAAACTAGAATTTTTAACTGCGATCCACCCACAGCCGATTACAATTTTTTCGAAATGTCTGTTAAAGTCAATACTTTAAAACATGTTTTTTCTTTCTGGAACCCCATTAAATTGAAACGACCAAAATTCACACACACAAGTTTTTATATGTTTTGACTTTTTCGGAGCAGAAAACCTTCAGAAATATTCTCCAAAAATTTAATTTCAGGTCGAAAAATTGATTTTTTAAAAGAGAAATAATTAAATACCGGCGTTTTGAAACACTTTTCTATTTTTTCTATTGCTATTTATATTTATGGTTTAAACTTGTTAAAAACAATAAAAAACGCCCCCTATTCGATTGCTAGGCCAAACCCGAATATACGAATGTTTCAAGGAATCTATTATCGAAAGCAAGGCGTGGCTTGCTTTATTCGATATTTTCGTAAGGTAAATTAAAATTTATATAATAATCAGCGTTGATTAATTTTATATTACAGTAATCGTGGGGCTGTCCCTTGTGAACGTGTGCATCAACGTCGTCTGCGAGAAGCTCGAGCAAATGTACCTGGCGCTGCTCACCAAAATGGCCGAGGTTAATTTTAGGGAAAAAAACATCTAATTGTAAATTATTGACTATATTAATTGTTCATCATTTTTAAGTACAAAACATGTTCTTCAAAACTTGGAAACTAATTTTAATGTTTCAAAAAACCTTGATGTCCTTAGGAAAGGGATATTTTCAATGCTCGTGTGACCTCTAACTCGTGCTTCAAAGCCAAATAATCATATTCCGATGAAGTATATTACTCTAAAGCTTAGAATCTACACAAAATATATGAAATTTATGTTAATAATATTAACTTACAAAAAAATGCTAAATCCCCCGGTTTTCGGGAATCAAAAAAATTGGGTTTCAAATTCAGTTCAATTACTAAAAATTCGTGGCAATGTTGAAGAAAATAGAGGTAAATTTTAAGAAATATTTAATAATTTTATTCGTTTAAAAATCAATACCAAAGTTCTGATTATATATCAATCCGGGTCGCAAATCCTCAAACTTGAGGTGTTTCAAAATGAAAAGTTGTGTTGCACTGTCAATGGAATCAGCTCGAATTCTTAAATTTCCGATTCACACCAAGTCTGGTAAAAAAAAATTATATATTTTTTCTAAACAAATGCAAAAATTAAAATTACATAAGCTTTAATAGTAAAATATAAGAATTCAATGTGGCTCTTAAAATATTCCGTTCCAGGACTATCAACGCGCGCTGGAATCGGGCGATCCGAAGGCCATTGAGGGCATGATGAGCGGCTTCCAGGGCAAGGCCAAATTCCTGATGCCGCTGATTAGGTTGGCGGGGATAAAATTTAAATAATTAATGAACTAAATCAGCCTTTTTAAATGAAAAAGGCTATATCACGAAAAATTTTTCGAAAATTATATTTCATCCATATTTATAAAAAAATCGGACAGGTTAGATTCAATGACCAGTGCACCGACTCTGGGTACAAACAACGAAACTAGAAACAAAAAAAGGTTTCAACCAATTAGAATCTGGGCTTCTCGTTATCGGGTTTAATCAGTGGTGATGGGATAGTTTAAAATAATAAAAACGAGTTGACAACTGCTGTTTTGTAAAAATAAAATGGGGAACGGGATTTCACGTGGAATTAGGAGAACTTTACGCAGTTTAATTTTAGCAGCAGCAGCTGTAAAAGGAAAATTGTAATTTGAAAAAATTGTGGAAATCTTAATTTTGAAATGAAAATGTGTCAAAGTACCAAGTGAAAAATAAGACATTTTTACAAAATTTTGGAGGGCCTGGAAGTGATTTTTTTTTATTAATTCCCAGATCTTCCGCCTTTTTGTGCGCTGAAATTAAATTAAGGACAGGCCGCCTACTTTTATATTGAAGGAATTAGAATATAGTAATTTTATTTTTATTTTTAGGAGTTTATATCAAACCTATTATTAATGACAATTTAATCGATTTCATATTTTTTATATATTTAATATTTAGCAAAAACGCCGGGAACAAGGTGATGAACCAGTTCAAGGAGGAGGCCAAGGCGAAGGGCATCGACATCCCGCCAGTTCTTACCAATCTCGACCCACAGACTGGTAGGCTTTATTTGCAAGATATAAATTTAAGCCAATACTAGATTTTTAATATATTTAATATAGTTTAATATTTCAATATAATTCATTAAATTTAGTATATTTTAATATTCTTTAATAAAAAAACAGCAAAATCCATTTTACTCCATTAGATCCCAATGTTTCAGCAGGATAACTATAAATAAATTTTACAAAATTACCCGTTATTGTTCCAGTTTGTGATTATTTTATGCAAATTTTTAGTTAAAAATTGGATCAAGCAAATTAAATCAAGAAAAGAATGTTTTACTGTATTTTAAAAAAGCCGCGTGCTTCCAACTGGGCTGTTAATCAAAAGGAAGGTTTTCGAAACATGCAAAACAGACAAAATTCGCGATTCCAGGCTGTATGTTGCAAAATTTTGTTTATTTTTTAGCAAATTAAACTACAGTATTTTTATGCTATTTTGTATGCAATTAACGATCCATTTTTAAGGAATGCCCGCCTTCGCCAAGGCGGATCGCGGCGATTTCCGGGAATTTATCGAGGCGGCCGAGGTGGTTTAATTTTTTAATTATCTAAGCATTCAAAACTACAGAAAATTAGTTCCATTATTATTCGACAATGAGTTTTAAATAACTAGGTTTTATTAATGAGAAAATGCCTAACAATATCGATAAAATAAAAATTCCAGGTGAAAAGGCAGCAAACCGACCGCGTCGAGCAGCTGTTCAGCGAGCGCCAGGTAAATTTAAAATCCCTACTTTTATTTTTCTAATTTTGCTAATTGGATTCTTAATTTTGTTAGTTAATCAAATAATGAAAACATTTTAAAATTAGAAATTTTATGCTTTTCTTCGTCACCTTAATTGAATTTTTGGCTAAGAAATAGAAAAAATTACTGGAACCGGTTTTTTTAATTGAAATTAGATTGGTCTTTCATGCTAAGGAAACAATGCACGGGACATTAAATCTGCAACAAAAATTGTTTGCATTAACTTTTAATGAAACTTCTTTTTTACCTTTGAAAACTCGTTTTTTTTGCAGAGAATAAGGAAATACATGAAAATACACTTACAGACTCGTTCCCCGTCATTTGCCGGCCAGGCACTCGTCAACACGGCCATGGTCACCGAGGAGATGAAGAAGAAGACGGCCGAGGTCGAGATACAGGTGGGACTTTGTCAGACCACCGGATCACTGGAAAATTTGAATGTTTCATCATTTGTCTAAACCTTTCTGGAGAATTAAGTAACATTCGCTCATCCGTATTGAGGTTTTTGGATTGGGCGATTTTTTAAGGGGGATTTTTGGCATCGCCACTTGATCAATAATACGGTAAAAATTAAACAAATTATAATATCTTTTAAACCTTTTAAAAGATGACAGGTATGTAGACAAATTTTAAACCCGATGAAAAGCCTAAAAATTAGTTCAGGACTACCAGAGCTTTCCAAAAAAAAACATGTATCATATTTTTGTAACTTTCTCTAAGGAATTTGAGCCATAATCACGACACGATTGAAAGTCAAATTTAACGAAATTTTCGTAAAACCATGTGTTTCAAAATTTTGTGAATTTCGCTGTAAAGGCGCGTCTTAATTGATTTCGTAGTGGATACAATAATTTTTAGGGCATAATTTTAGTTTCTGATTTTCTGAAAAAGCGCGCTACTACCAAGTGTTTTTTAGTCGATATGGTTAATTTTAGGATACGATTTGACGATCCACTTCTTTGAAGTTTAACCAGGGTTTGAGAAGCCGCTTCGCGACTTTTCAACCCTGGTCTCGTCTCAAAACCATGAAATTCTTCACTTTGCATGATTCGCCCGAATTGCGGTCAGAAATAATGAAAAAAGGTTGCCTCTCTACCGTTATATAGGCTTCCGCCACTTCCGGCGCATGCTAATCGTTTCCTAACAAAGAGGGGTGACCAATTTTTCATGAAAAACTAAATTTTAATGTCGAAAACAATTTATTTTCAAAAATCTGATATGTGTGCAGTCATCTCTAGACCATGACGCATCTAATGACTTATCAAACATACCTTTAAGTCCTTCCCCTAATCCGATACTACTGGAACACGCTGACGGAAGTTGCATGCAAATGCACACACATACATACATACACACACACACACAGGAACTATTTTTTTATATATAGTAGGATTACTTTTTAACTATCACCATTATTCGGTTTAAAAAAGGCCCCAAAACCATGTGCCGGTTGAAGGCTAAATTTAACAAAATTTTCGTAAAACTATGTGTTTCACAATTATGTGAATTTCGCTGTAAAATTGGTGCGTTACCGATCTGTGGTTGTCATTTGAAAAATTCTTTTAATGTGACATTTTAAAATTTAATGTTGAATTGCTTTAGAAAAATGATGATTAATAATCTTAGACGTGGACGATGGACGAGCTGTTCCAAGAGTGGAAGCCAAATTGCCATATCGAGGTGCAGACACGACCGGAAATGGTGGAAGAGCACAGCCACGAGGGACAGGTGCTTATTTTTGATTTATTAAAATTACTAGCGCCCAAAACCCGCTTCGCGGGCCTTCCAATAAAAATCGAGGAATGATTAAGGATAGTCCGGAACGTCTTTTCAGGATTTTTTTGCGAAACTTAATTTTTCAAAAAGTTATGGATACGGTATTGTCATGTTCAAGCCACTTTATTCAAATTTTATGTACAACGTCCTAATTTTTTTACGAGATATTAAAACGAGGCGGCGCCAATCGACTTGAATATGTCGTGAAACTCCATTTATCTGGAACGGCTGCGCGAAAAACCAACAAAAATCCCAGCCTGCTTTTTCCAAATTTTTGGTTAACTTTGAATTTTGTTGGGGAATTTTGGTAGTATGATAATCTATAATAATATAAAATTTCGATTGATATTCGACAGTTTTATAGTTAGTCTCTTGAGTAGGGTAACACGCAGTGAGAAAGCAACAGCACGACAAAATCGCTAAATTGCGCCCCCAAGAAATATCTGGGTCTCATCCGGTTTTGGAACACTTCTTTTAGCCACAAAACCTATTTGAACGATTTCGGGGTTTTTAACTTCCATAAATATGTCGTATCAATTACAGCCAAAAATGTGGCAAAATCAGTGGACCAGCCAAAATATATCTTCAATTAGCGCGAAAATTTTTTATTGTTTTTAGTTTTTTTGCCATATGTCGTAATTTGTGGGAAAATTCTCTGCAAATTCCCGTTTCGCTTTCGAAGTCAGGGTATTATTTAAACTTATTAAAATTTAAACAATACGAATAAAACGCGTAAAACCGGATGCAGGTGGGTGACTGGCTGCAGCGGCGCAAAAATTACCTGCTGCTCGGGGACGGCGGCGACGACGAGAATTTGCTCGAGGTCGACCCGAAAGAGGCCGCCCAGAAATTGGGCTGAATTAAAACCTTTTGCTATTTTTTCAATTTGCTGTATTGGCTCCACGCCTGCTTAATCGTTCCGTTATTAAGGTGTTTGAAACCCTTCGTACTATGCATTTTTCCAAAACATTGATCTTTAAAAAAATATGTTACACCCGTATTTAAGGAATTCCAGCCTCGGTTCGTATAAAAGTTAGCTTAGTTCCGATCTGATCTAATATTAACGAAAATTTTATTTGATTCAACTTTTTATACAAATTATATTATGTAAAGAATTGCTTCCCTCAAAATTTCCCCTAGTACCCGCTTTTTATCAAGCTCATTTTTGGCGGTTTTAATGCAATTTCAGGACTCTTCGGATTTTATGACACAATATTTTTCGTATACTACATGCTAAATTAAATCTAATCGTCTAGATGTTTTTGTATGCAAATTACATCTCAAAAGACGCAAACTTTTAAGCCCAAAAAGGTCAGAAGTATTGCCTGTTTTAAAAACCACCCCACTGTGCATTTTTTATGAAACTCAGTTTTCGAAATTTCTAGGTATCGAAATTTATGCAACCGTGAATTTGCATTTTATTTCTTTTAGCTTCATTTGGGATCTTTAAGTCACATCCAAAAATCAACAATATTCTTATGCAGATTACACCTATCAAAATGATTCTCAATCTCTTTTATATCGCGTTATTCTCGCATTTAATCTTCGCTCAAGTATCTCGCCTTGCCAAAATGCAATTTCGTCAATTAGGGCTCTACAATTTCCATGCAATATCCAATACAATCTGCAAACCTGGATATTGAAAAATATATGAAACAATGGTATTTGAAATTTGGAATCGATTTATACGCCCCCTTAATTTTTTAACATTATGTTTCATTTAAACTCCGGGTTTCAACCCCGTTTTATGTACCAATTTTTTTTATCTTGTATCTTTACAATTGATCTGAATAAACGCAATATTGAAAGTCGTCGCTTCTCGGCATGGCTTGCGTTTCTTCGAGTGTTTTCTTATTGCCTCTTCTCCGAAACTTTACTTCTCTAAAAATTTCTAAAACATTAAATTGACTTTCAGATAATTTTAATAATGTTTTTGACTTCAAAATATATAATAATAATCAGCTTGAGGTTGCGCTGGTTCTATTAAAAACCTAAAAAGAGTGCGGTTTTAAAATAATTTAATTTCATAATTTTCATAATTTAATGGCAAAATCTGATGATTTTTCAGTGCCGAGCGGATGTGGTGGAAATGGAGATCCAGACGATATGGGAATCGATGGACGAGGGGATTCAGGTGGGATTTATTCTTAATTTTGTCAAAATAATATAATTTTTTAGATTGTCCTATTTATTATTTTAGTTAGAGCAATTTAAAAAAATAAGGTCGAATAAATGCAATCAGATAAAAAAAAGCCTTTTGAGTTTAGTTGCTTTTGAGCTTTGACTGTGAGTTTTGTTACAATGAACTAGATTTTTCTAACACGGATCAAACGATTTTTTGGAAACATTTTTCAGTGCGGCGCCGAGTTCTCGGATTTCGAGACGCAAACTTCCTATGAGAGCACCGATGAGGGAATTCAGGTGTGTATGGTCGTGATACCATCAAAAAATATAATATACCCTGGAGGTATTAAAAATATACCTCCCCCGATAATGCAAAAGATCCTTTTTTTGACAAAATTTATTATTTTTAGGTTATTTATTTTTCAGATAGGTTAATAAACTCTGATATAAAAAAATAGTGTCTGTGTGTTTGTGTGTGTGTGTGTGCCACTTTGCATGCAACTTCCGTCAGGGTGTCCGGAGGATCTCTCGAGAGGGAAAGGGGTTTAAGCAACGTATGATACGTCATTAGATGCGTAATGGCGCTGAGATGACTGCACACACATCAGATTTTGCAAATTATGCTATTTTCGACGTTAAAATTAAGTTTTTGTTAGAAAATGGAGCACCCACTTTGTTAGGAATCAATTAGCATATGCCGGAAATGGCGCGAGCCTATATAATGGGCGGAGGGAGAGATTTTCATTTTTTTGTCATCGGAATTCGCGAGAATTATGCAAAACGAAGCATATCATGACGCTAGACGGTGGCCAGGGTTGAAAAGACGCGAAGCGGCTTTTCAACCCTGGTAAACTCTGAAAATTGCAATTTATGCTGGATTCAGGTGTGGCCATCGATGGAGGAGGTGTACACACAATATGACGTCGCCCTGATCCCCGGTGTGGAAGCCCAAACGCAAGCCGTCGAAATAGAGGTATGAAGAAATGTTTTTACCACAAAAATAATAAAAAAGAGTTGCCTGCTATGTAGTGGGGCAATAAAAAAAGGCGAAAATAAAATATATTTCGCTTGATGATATAACTCTAAAGTAACAATAAAACAATTAATATGTAAACTACGATCGATTAAAAAAGCTAGAAAGACAGATGATACAGTAAGCCCTTGATATGAAAATTAATAATAAAAATGAAATCGCATTTTTGGGAAAAATGAATGTTACAATGAAAAGTCGTATTCCAAAACACAATTCGGCTTTAATAATATTGATTTTCAGGAATGCGGATGCCAATGGGAGCCGTCGACGTCCGGGTGGGTTAAATTCGAATACACATTTTTTAAACATTTTATTCAAACGATGCATTTTTACATCTACAAAAATTTCATAGGTCGGCAAAAATCCAACTAATCTAACTTAATTTAGCAAAATTAAGCGCTGAGTAATTAAAGTAATAAAAAAGGTGTTTTAGATTTAGAACTGTAGTGAAAAGAATTTTTGGTAGTTAATGGAAGATGAAGTAACACCGAATTACAAAATCAATCCACTGCTCGATTTGACGAATAAATAAGGGGATTTTCGCTTTATCTAAAAAACTATCTGGACGACTTACTTAGTAAATATCGAAATTTTTGTCCAAATATCAGTATTTTTGCATTTGCCAACCAAGATTTGTACCATTTTTAATTTTAGATATATTAAAAATATTTTAGTAATCTTTCCGCTACTTAGATTGGAAAATTTGAATTTTAAGGAAAATCGTCACCCCCGATAATGCCAAAGAACCAGAAAAAATCAGATTTAACGGATTTTTCAATCGATGTTTTGGTGCGCAGAAAAATTTGTTGCGTGTTCTAACCTGGAGACCAAAGGTTTTCAAGAGTTAATGGATCCGAGCCGGAACGCAGTTTTAAAATCGCTAAATCTTAGTTAAAAACGGTAATTTCAGGATGGCCGAAATGGGCACCCAGCCCGAGGTGTCCATGCTGTATCACGAGCTGGAGAACGAGCCCGAGGAGGAACAGGATACGGTAGCTTTTCAAATTTGATTCCAATGTTTCAGAAAGAGCACAATACCGTTTCAGATCAGAATTCGTAATAAAACTGTTACGTACTGCTTAAAATACTTACAAGGAGTGCCCTTTTAGTGTCATCGGCAAAACCTTTCACGACCTAGCTGATTCGATAGAGAATTGAATTCTGAACAAGCTCCCGTTCGTTTTTTGCGGAATGGCTGTCTCCGATTTATGCCAACATGTACTAAAACAGCATTTTGACTCGATGCCGCGCCCGTCCCAGAAGCGCCTCTGGGGAAGAGCTGCCTGACCTTCCCACCACCAGTAAGCGTGGCGCAGTGGCTATCACCGCTGCCCAGCGAACTTTTTTGCGATTCAGGCAAAAGTTCGAAACTCACGGCAACAATTCTTTTTGGTTTTTGGATTTTGACCGCGCTGGGTTCATAGGTCAAAATCCGTTTTATTTGAAGCAGAGACAATCGAACAATCCTTTGTGAGAAAGCCTATGTTTTTGAAAAACATGCGCTAATTAAGAATCTAGTTGGTGCAAGCCGGCTTTTCTCAAAAATGCACATGAAACGGCCACGAGGGGTTCCAAGCGTAACCCTATTCAAAAAGCAAAAAGAATTGTTGATGTGAGTTTCGAACTTTTGCCTGAATCGCAAAAAAAGTTCGGTGGGCAGCGGTGTTAGCCACTGCGCCACGCTTACTGGTGGTGTGGAGAGGTCAGGGCGGCTCTTCCCCTGGGGGCGCGTCTGGGGCTGGCGCGAGCATCGAGGTCCAAAA